CTGTTGATAATTATTTATACCCTTTAGCAAAACAGCCAAGCATTGTAGTTGTCCAAGTTTAATGATATTTTTACCAATTTACTACCTTTCCCATGATCTATGTTAAGGATACTGGCTGCAACTTTTGATGATGGTTGCTACCATCCTTACAACCATTTTGTTTCCTTTTTTGGATTGTGACATGGAACACTAGTGGCACTTTCAACTTTTGAATATTAGTAACTTTCTATATTTTAAAAATCTTGACCCTACTACTAAATTTTGCCACCTCTTCTGTATATTGTTAACTATTAAGGTATGATCTTCACCCGAAATTTTCCAATTTTGCTATATAGTTGTCATTTAAAACAATATTGTATTATATAATATTAATTGATTTTATATTCAATTTCAGGCAATGAATTATTGTAAAATTAAATCAGGGTTGATTGTTCAGTGCTATAGTATAACTAAATTCCCAGATAATGGAAATTATACAATAGTTTTAAATCATCATGAAGAAGGAAGTTCAAGGGGTTATTTGAAAAAAATCATTTAAATTTAACATTAAAAGACAGAATTACAATCTTCAGATATTTATGTGATTCATTAGATGTTACACATGAAAAAGATTTAATCCATTGTGATTTACATAGTGGTAATATATTATTGCAAGGAGGTAATTGTTATATTACAGATTTGGGATTATGTGGACCAGTCAATGAAAAATCATCAGATAAAGTTTATGGAATTGTATCATATGTTGCACCTGAGCTACTTAGAGGTGAAAAGAACACAAAGGAATCTGATATTTATAGTGTTGGGATGTTAATGTGGGAAATATTTGCAGGTTATCCGCCATTTGATGATAGAGCTCATGACCATCATTTAATTTTTGACATATATGAAGAAGGTTTACGACCACCAATATTACCTGGCATGCCTGATGATTATGCAGAAATGATGCAGAGGTGTTGGGATGTGGATCCATCAAAAAGACCAACTATTAGTGAGCTTTTCAAATTTGCTATAAATAAACACAAGGAAATTGACTTTAATAATGATGGTAGCAGCAGCAGTGATGGTGGTAGCAGTGTTTTGCAACAAGTACATAAATCACACCCAGGTGCATACCATACAAGTAGAATATTAAATGAAGAGATTGCTAGATCAAAAAGCTTTAAAAGTTATACAAGTAATGATAATTCATTAAATCATCTTGATTTTACTTAAATGTCAAAGATGAATGAAAATTTCATTGTTAATTAATTGATTGGAAATTACTATCTATTAATCATTACTAACAATATTTTTTACTTACATTAGATTCTAGTAATTAAAAGAAAGAATCAATGAGTGACTAATTTAATCTTCACTATAAACTTATTCATTATAATTATTTATCTTTTTATTTTATTTTTATTTCATTTCTAAACTATAATAATATTTTGAAGTAATTTACAGTTTTCTAGCTCTTGTTAAATGTTGCAATGTAGCCTTTTGATTACAATTTAACTTTTGGGCTATTCTTGTCAGTTAATTGCAAGAAACTCGCAATAATTCAATGCTTGTCAATTAATTAGTTACGAATTTACTTTTGTTCTTGCTTACCGTCTCTTTCTTGCACCTAGAAAGTTCCAATGAATCTATATGCACATTTTATGGTGTTGAATAATTGTAAATAAGTTATATAAATAAAAAATTTAATGTTATCTCAAAAAAATTGTTAATTACATCATATTAAATTATTCTGATATAATCAATAGATATAGGAAATCTTTTAGGAACTGCTGAAAAGAAGATGATTAATAATGAATAATTATTTATTACATCAAAAAAATTTTTCTTAAAGATTTTTATTTATTTATTCTATTCTATGTCCATTGAATTATTCTTATTATCAGATGCAACATCAACCTTAGCATCAACATCTACATTAACTCCAACATCAACATTAACATTAATTGTATTTTCTAAATGTTGTTTTATGGCAAATAATGGATTTGTTTTGAATTGAGGATGCTGTAAGATTTTGTTAAATCTTTGGATTTCATCTTTACTTTTTTTATAAAAATATTGATATTAATAATTAATATTATTAATATTATGAACATATAAATGAATAACAAGTTAATAATTACTTTATTTTTTCCCTGGCTTTAATTGATTTTATTGGTTTGATTTTCAGTGTTGTTGATAATACATCATCATTGTTTTTATTTTTATTCTTTGACTTTTTATTCTTTTTCTTTTTCTTTAAAGATCCAGCAATTTTCATATTCGATGCTGTTGAATCATCTTTATCACTGCTATTATTGTTGTTGTCATTATTATTGTTATTGTTGCTATTATTACTGTTAGATGAATTATCACTACTATCAATAATATTACTCGTAATATCTTGACCTTTCTTGTTGGTGTCAGCTTTCTTATTATTTATTATATTTGAATCAATGATCATATGATTATTGTCTATTTGTTCTGACGTTGCTTTTGTTGAAGACTTTGTTTTTTTAGGTTTCTTTTTTGGTTGTGTAGAAAATGGTTCAAATTCTATTGAAATGTATGATAAATAAAATGCATAAATCATAATATAATTTAAATATTATTTACTAGCAAATAGTTAAATATTGTTACTTTTCTTCCATTTCTCATGTCTTTGTTTAATCTTTTCCTTTTTTGTAAGAGGTTGATCGTTTATTGATGTTTCTACAGGTGGCGCTGAATCTTTCAAAGTAGAAGTTAATTGTGAAACAGAAGATTTCAATGAAGTAGATGTTGATGATGATGATGATTCTTTATTAGTTGACTATTTTCAAACAATATTATAAATAAGACCATAAGAATTCTAATGATAATTCATAGTTCTAATTATTATTACTGTTATTTATTTTTTTATTACCTTGTTTTCATCAGCTTGTAAAGCAGATCCGGGAAGAACCTTTTCTACATGTTTTTCAGGCACTGCAAAGCTTCTTTTTATTTTATAATGTAATTGTGGTCGACTTTTCTTTACTTTTGGCTTAATATATATTCAATGAATGAAAATTAATACTATGAATAATTTTATTGATATATAATGGAAAATAGAAAGTATTTACCATTTCGAAAAAAAAAATAAATTTTTTTTTTCAGCTAAAAATTTTTTTCTAATTTTGGAATAGATATTGGAAAATCTTGATATCTTCGCCAAACCTTTTTTTATTATAACATTTTTATGTTTTATAAAAATAAAATAATAATAATGCGATTTATTTATTTTTGCTTTGCGAAGGTTTTGTTCATGGACTTCAGTAAACTTGAATTTAGTGAACTGAATTTTGGGGTAAAACCAAAGGCAAAAACCTGCTTGTGCGTTATTATTACCACCGAGACATCAACCAAATATTCAAACCAAATAGACAGTATGTCGAGCCACATTTACAACACAAGCTGGCTTTTGTGATATATTGAATAAGAAGAATTGGAAAGACTAGTGTGTTATTCTTTTTTGTGACAAATTTGACAAAGTGAATGAGGGAGGCAGTGGAAATTAAAGATTTCTTGCCGAGGGTATTTCCATTCTCCATTCATTTATTGGTGTCAGCCAGCACCTTTGCAATAGTGCTGCTAAATTCTGGAACAATGAATGAATCCCTTCTAATTTTTGAAGGTAATTTAGGAACTCTAATATCCCATTGGAACAAGCGAAGGAATTTTTTGATGAGTTCATGACTAAAAGCATAACAAATGACAACCCAAACTTTTCGCCAACTTTGTGCTTGCATCTTTTTTGGCAGCCATGCTTATGGTTGTCAAATGAAATCCCCAATCATCCTACCCAATCAGCGTTCAGTATTTGTGAAAGTCACTCTACTTATGGTTAGCCCATCCCACATAAGTTTAAAAGTTCTCTAGTGACCCAGTTGATCATCCAAAATGTGACAAACGTGATGATTGAAGATTATGATGACGCATTCAAATTTTATAAATTGATTTTTTTTTTTTTTTCAAAATTTTCATTTTTTCCTCAAATTTACAATGGTATATTTAATTTTAATTGAAGATTCCTTTTTAATAGATCATGAAATCAATTTTGTATTGATTCGGATGTATTGACTATATATACACATATACATACAGGGTAATTCTCAATCTCTTAATCTTCAACCACCAGGATCCGGTAAAGACGATAAGAGTAAAGATGATAAAGTACTATAATGAGTATTTCTTTTAACAGAGATTCGTGATCTATATTTGATTATTTAAACATTTTTTTTTAGGATAAAGATAAAAAGAAAAAATGGGAGCCACCACTTCCCACACGTGTCGGCAAAAAAAGGAGAAGAGGACCTGATGCCATTTCTAAATTACCAGCTGGTATTAATTGAATTTATTTATTTATTTATTTAAATAGACCATTCAAGGAGCTTTTCTTTCGAATTAGATTTTATAATAATAATAACAATTATTCTTGTTGTAAAATTGATCTCAATTAGTATTTCCTACAACAAGATGTCGTCTTAAATTGTTAAAGATGGAACGTATAAAGGATTATTTATTAATGGAAGAAGAATTTGTTCAAAATCAAGAAAGATTAAAACCACAAGAAGAAAAAGCACAAGTATGGGTTTTTTTGTTTAAAAATTTTAAACCAATCACAGATTTCATTCCCTTTCACTATGTTTTTTTAAAATTTCTTACGTGGTATAAAATTTATGTAGGAGGAAAGAACAAGAGTTGATGATTTGCGTGGATCACCAATGGGAGTTGGTACATTGGAAGAAATTATAGATGATGACCATGCGATTGTTTCATCTTCTACAGGTCCAGAATATTACGTTAGCATTTTATCATTTGTTGATAAAGATCTATTGGAGCCTGGATGCTCAATTCTTTTGCATCACAAGGTATGAAATAAAATTTTTGTATTAATTTATTAGCGCATGTACGTATGCATGCACATATTCATAAATATGCGTGATTGGGGGTTTTTTTTTGTAGGCCATGTCTGTTGTTGGAGTACTCCAGGATGATACGGATCCAATGGTCAGTGTTATGAAACTTGAGAAAGCGCCCACTGAATCATATGCTGACATTGGTGGATTAGAACAACAAATCCAAGAGATTAAAGAGTCAGTAGAATTACCATTAACACATCCAGAATTATATGAGGAAATGGGAATAAAACCTCCAAAAGGGGTTATTTTATATGGGGTTCCGGGAACAGGTGCTGATAATGACAATAATATAATAATAGGGAGCAACATTAATGGATTTTATAATAAATGAATATATATACACATATTATATTTGCTATTTTTTTTTTTTTGGAAAAAAGGTAAAACACTTTTAGCAAAAGCCGTAGCCAATCAAACATCAGCTACATTTTTACGTGTTGTTGGGTCTGAGCTGATTCAAAAATATCTTGGGGATGGTCCAAAACTTGTACGTGAATTGTTTCGTGTTGCAGAAGAACATGCACCATCAATAGTATTTATTGACGAAATAGATGCCATTGGAACGAAACGGTATTTAATAATCATTTACTTACTAATGGATAATTTTTTACAAACATCAAATATAATAATTATAAATTTGCATATTGTGTTTAGTTATGAATCAAATTCTGGGGGCGAGAGAGAAATTCAAAGAACTATGTTGGAATTATTAAATCAATTAGATGGTTTTGATTCTAGAGGAGATGTTAAGGTTTATTATATTTTAATTATAATAATAATAATAATTATTATTATTATTATATTTTTACTAATATACATGCATATATTTATTAATGTGTAAAGGTCGTCATGGCGACAAATCGTATAGAATCACTTGATCCTGCTTTGATTCGCCCAGGACGTATTGATCGTAAAATAGAATTTCCATTACCAGATGTAAAAACTAAAAGAAGGATTTTTAATATACATACTGGTAGGATGACTTTATCAGATGATGTAGACCTTGAAGAATTTGTCATGTCTAAGGATGATTTAAGCGGTGCAGATATTAAGGTAATCAGTTAGTTAAATTAAAACCTATTCTTGTTGTTGTTTTTGTTGTTTAATAATTCATTATAATTGTCAATTTGTTTTCAGGCTATCTGTACTGAAGCAGGCTTATTAGCGCTTCGAGAACGACGTATGAAAGTGGTTGCAGAAGATTTAAGGAAGGCAAAAGAAAAGGTTTTATACCGTAAATCTGAGGGAACACCTGAGGGGTTATACTTATAATTCAACAGTTACTATTTATCATTATTTCTTATCACTTAAATTCAAAAAATCAAAATAAAGACTTATTTTTTTTTAATTTTCAAAATAAGTCATTGATGCATTTTCCGAGTGTATTTTTTTTTTCCCCAGATAGTTGAAGTAATAATTTTGGTTACAGACATCCTCCATCTTGATCACAAATTATTTTCTTCTATGTAACTTAAAGCCCTCTAGAATTAAATTGAATCTTGTATATTTTGAAATTTGATCATTAAAACAACTTGTCTCATAGAGTCATGGAACTAAAAATTTACTTCACGTGATTAATATTTCGATAATATAAATTTAATAAACAATAATAATAATAATAATTGCAGAATTATCGACATTGATATGATGCCAATCATCTAAACATCAAATGCTGCGCCAACTGGTGAAATTTTTGTATGAAAATCGTTCCTTTTATGGAACGCGATTTTTTAACTCAATCTATTTCTTCTTTTTTTTTGTTAAAATGCCTAAACAGAATAAAAGAAATCAGCATTTACAAAAAACTTTGTGAAACTAAAAAAACGAAAGAAACCATTAAATCAATTACAGATGAATATATTGATAAGGAGGTGTTTGAAAATGAATCTCAGATTGACACAAACACTTTGAATGAATTAGATGTAAATGAACCTGGATTAGAAATCGAAGAGTCACAGGTATCACATGACACTTCTTTATATCGTGAAAACATTCTTTAAATAGAGTAATAATCAGTGGTGAAATTTTTTTTTTAATAGTAAAAATGACAAACTTTATAACTTTTTTCATTTTAATAAAATTTAAAAAAACTCTCTATTGAATCTTTCATTATGTCTTATATAATAAAACTATAGAGTTTTTTTTTAATCTTGGATGGTCATTGAACTTATACATTTTAAAGTTTAGCCAAAATTTTTGATGTCTTTAGATGATCGGCACCATATAAAAAAGATTAACACCTAATCACATAAGCGAATGAGCTTGGAGATCACTAAAACAATAACTAAATCACATTTTATTATTTAAGAATGTCAATGAGTTACCAACAATTATTTCGTTAAATCTCCCTGACTAAGAGAGACTCCCATTGGATCTTTTCGATATTGAGTGCGTTTTTTTTTGTTCAAGTGAGACCTGGTTAGTTTCATTTATGATTTGATTACAATGTATATTATGACAAGAATTTAAACCGCGACGATATTTTGAAGAAGTGTTTTCAAGTAAGCTAGTCACAGGTCGGCCTAGGATTCATCTAAACACGGAATTAAAACTCTTGTCACTCCGCCTCGGGGTATACTAAATACTCGTTCTTTTATTTTGATTGGTAAAAATATGACCCGCGGAATTGTCATTGGATCTTGACATAATGAACCTGTATAAATTCCTCTCAATATAATGATTTTTATATAAGCACTTTATATAAGCGTATAGTGGATAAACGGAGCTCTTCATGTAATGGTGAAAATTATTTAAACGATTATCATTATATCAATGATTAAAAATCGCCTACATACTTTTTTCGGATTCATTATTATTATAGGGAAATTGCTTGTTAAAAACGAATTGATGTTTACGATATCCATTAAACCTTGGTATTTCTTCCCTTGAACCAGTAAGAATCTCAGACGTAGGGATGGGAAATTTCAAAATTTCATGCGCATCGTGCGCATTTCATGCGGTGCATTTTTAAGAAAAATCACTCAACAACCACTTTAACATTTTTTAATGCATTTATTCATTATTAAAAATATATTATGAAAATTAAATGTTTACAGATAATTTATTTTCATCATCAGTCAATATCACTATTATCAACATTATCAACATTGTCATCAATATCATCATTATCTTCACCTACATTTGTAACTTTATTTATCTTTGGGGTTTTCAATTTATATATAAACTAATTTAAAAACACGATCATTTGTCAACTTATTTCGCTTTTTATCATGTATATAAGAAAATGTAGACCAATTCCTTTCTGCTTGCAGCCGATGAGGTAGGAATAGAAAGAACTCTTACCCGCAACTTTTGTCAATTCAGGTGCCACAGCTCCAAAATCACCTTTCCGCTAGGTTAATAAGTCCACATTATTGGTAGATATCTCCATGAGTTGTCAAATATACCACTACGAGCTTTATCTTGTAAAATTTAATTTCTGCATTTTCTGTATGTGATATTGCACGATTTGAAAAAAAATCATGCACATTGCATTTTTTTTAATGCGCATGGAACCTCTCTACTCAGATGCGATCACACTTTGTTAATTCATCACGCCTGTCAACTTGGTCAACGTCATTGTCCTTTTCCTTTACCATCATCACTAGTATTGTCATAAATATTTATTTATTTTAATAAAATTACTTATACAATTTACCTCTATTATTAGTACTATTTTAATTATTAAAAAGTTATTAGGAAACATTGAAATGTCAAAATCGTTTAATAAAGTGCAGTATTATAACTATCATTAGCTTTAATTCTTTTGATTTGGTAATGTCATCATCTAATATTCTGCTGAAATTATACGACAATGGATATGATGTTTGATTTGACTGAGGAATATTATTATTATCAAAAGAATTGCTTGTTGTAGTAGAAATCATGGTTTCATTGCTTAAATCTTATTCAAGTCGGTAAATTTTAGAAGATCTTTCTAATTTTTGTATTACAATGTGATCATGATATTTGTCTAGACAAAAATAGTAATACGAAGCTAATTTACATTAGGTACCAAAGAATTACATTAGAAGTATTTTGAAAAAGGAACAAGGTGAAAAAATTGCTCCTTACATTTTCAAAATAAATGATACTCAGACATTGGAAGCTTATCTAAGAAAAGAAAAGATTACTTATGAAATTTACCAAGAAGAAGGAAAAATAATAAATGTTGGAAAAAGAAAGCAGAATGAAAGTGTATTATTACAAAAAGCAAAACTCCTTAGAAGGAGAATAATCTTATTATTATTGCAATATTGATTTAATTTTTTATTTTAATTAATTAATTAATTTTTTTGTGGGTGGATATGTCACCGATTAAATTTGGGAGAGCGTGTTTTAATTGGTGATAACAATTATTTTTGTTTTGTGTGGATCAGAATG